TATATATCACGATTTCACCTAGTAGAAATAAGTTTTTTGAGGAATCTTGTGTCGAATTTGGGGTGAAAATGGCAAAAGCATTTATAGTGATGTAGGGCATATATGAAACTCCACTTATTTATTATTAAAATCATGTGAAGAATTTGAATATTTAATAACTAAATTTTATAACAATAGGCATATTAGAAATGATGATGATATTATTTTGAATGAATCCAATTGACTTTTAGCTTTAAAAATAAATCTTTTTTGACAAATTCTTATGATTCTACAAATATTTTATCTGAAGTGTACTAACCTACTAGTTATATGGTACTTGAACGTTTTTATTTAATTACAAGGGCTTTTCATAAATACAAAAATGATCCCGATTTTAATGAAGTTATATATTTTGTGGAATTAAAGTTTAGAAAATATTGGTAAATTTTGTTTATGTTATTTCTTTTAGCATGCATTATGGACCCCGATGCAATTTATTAGGTACTAAGTATGTAATTGATGAGATCTCAAAAGCTTTAACTTTTAATACTCCTATCATTTATAGAAATTTCGAACAAACTTTATGTGACATGTATGAATTATATGCAAGACGAATAGGTGCAAATATTAGTCGAGTACCCTCTGCACCCATTCCTCCTACCAATATTGAAGTATATATATGATGAAAATAAAATAGGTTCCTCTAGTAGTAATATGTCTACCGCATGTAATCAGAAATCGGACGCAAGTCAAAATGCATTGTCTACAGAATTAATTGATTACTTTAATCATAGTATGCTTAATAACAAAATAATTAAAAAAAGTTCGAAAAAATAATTGAATACTAGATAAAGTACGAACGACAATGACCAGTGACTTCTGTGATTGCAAAAGACCTACTAACACCTCCGGTTAGCACTTTTAGTGTAGGTAAGAGGGTCTGTCCAAGGTTAAGAGCCGGTTGAAAGAATATATTTTGGAAGCATTAATGTGGCTAAAGAACTGATAAGACGCTGATTGGCAGTGGTAGAAGAAGAAGGAGATTATGGTGGTGTTGACTTAGGGATGTCAAACAGGCTGAGTGGCTCGACCGCTCGGCTTGTAGGTAGCTCGTGGGTAAGGCTCACAAACCAAAAGTTCATGAGCCTCATAAAAAATGTGAACAAAAGTAGGAAAATTTTCAAAAATAAAATAAAATTAAGCTCATGGGCTAGGCTCAGCCCCCGAGCTCACCCTTTGAGCATGAATCGAGCTCAAGCTCGACTCGTTATTAAAGATGTACAAGCTTGGTTCGTGACGAGCACGAGTAGAGCTCGTGTGTTTAAGGGCAGAGCTGGCTCAGCTCGATCCATTGCCACCTCTATGTTGACTGACAGGATGGTGGTCAGAGTCAACAACGATGGTCCTTGAAGGCGACAACGATAATGATGGTTGGTGGCAACAACAATGATACTGGTTTGTTAGGGTTTGAGTAGAATTGGCATTGAGTTTTGGTATAAAAATGAGTACGAGTAAAAATTCTGGTTTGAAAATCAGAAGAAGTGGTTCAGTACATTGAGAATATTTTTGTAAAAATGGGTATGTGGTTGAATTTTCACATTTGTACCTTGTTCGATCCTTCCCGCTCGACCCATTAATATCACTAAGGATAAACAATGCTAGATTGACTCTAGATAATTTGTGACGTCATAAAGTCCCCAACTAAAGTATTCCCTTCATCTAGCACTTCTTCATCATTCACTTGAATAATCGGATTATTTTGTGCATTAGCCATCTTTTCTTATTGTTATTCTCTTTGCTTATGATAAAACATACATTTGATTTTCGGATTAGTTGGTATCAGTTGACTATCTCTCGAATTTTGCATAAAATGCTTTAAAGAGAAGAAAATAGAAGCATTAAATTAAATTGATAGAAATGAAAAAATAAAATAAAAGCAAAAGTTTGAATTAGTGTTAAGGTAAATGAAATTAAACTCAAATATAATCCCCGACAACGGTGCTAAAACTTCTCACAAAATATTTGGCGTTTTAAATACTGCAAGTGCATGAATCGTTAACAAATAGTAAAATGAATTTTTGAGTCCAAGTATCGTACCAACAAAGATTGTACTAGTTAAAGTTCGAATTAACTTAGTTTTAATCGAAACAATGAAATTTTTTTATTTTTCTATAGTTAAATTATAACCACTTAAATTACATACGAATGCATGACTTAAATTAATTAAAGTCAATGTAAGATTATAAGTAAATACAAGTTTTATAGAAATATGATGATGAAAAGCATATTACGATCCCAAATCCCTTATATCAATCATCTTTAACCTTGAACCTTATAAATTTTACAATATGATTCAATTATGGGCCCGTTTGGTAGGGATTTTGAGAATTGATTTTTTGACCGTTAGAAGAAAAGTGGGGTCCACATGTGAGAGAAGAAATCAAAAATTACAGCTTAAATAGTAAAATAACGGTCAAAAAATCAATTTTTTAGGGCAAAAAATCTCTACCAAACGGGGCCTATGAAGAACAATTTTCCTAATTTATTTAACAATCATTCTCAAGTAGAATTAAACATATTCATACATGTGACTCAACTATATTTTTATGACGGATGCGAACATATAAAAATGTATTAAAAATTTATTAATGGTTAAAGATCACGTAAAGTATAATGATATATTCTATTCCCTATCGGATTCTATGACAGTTAACATTATGTCTAACTTATTTTCAATCTTTAAAAGGTAAAACAAGCCATAATATTCGTACAATCTTTGTGCACATAATTGTAGAGAAGAACTAAACCATGAAAATCGTTCAGTAATTGAAAATGTGCTTTTGAATGTTAAAAGGAAATAAATCACGAGTTGAATTTTCATGATAAGTTTAATTTTAATCCTAGTACTAAAATATAACGACCAAAAATTTATTGTAGAAATAAATTTGAATCGCTACCAAATATTTATCTTCAAGAAACCGTAACTTATAAGCATTTTCATTACATGCTTACAGTCAATTGATTCAAATATTTGTTTCTATAATTTAAATAAGTGGCCGAGGGATGAATTCAACATTTGACAACCACCGTCCGATTTTCTTGAATTCAAGGCAGAAAGGCAAACTTTGAATTGACACTAAATGTTATAAATCTAATTAAAAGTCTCAAAGTGCAACATAACACATTTAAAGGAATGAAAATACTAATTAATTGACTAGAAAGTAGACAATTACACTTAAAAGAACATGTTCGAGAATTTAAATTAAATATAAAAGTCTATTGCAGTCACTTTTAAAATGAAATAGGTTACGTGCTAAATTTTAGATTTTTGTCACGTGGATCGAGGCATAATCACACCATCGAAGTGCTGTGCTCTGACATGACCCGTACTGATTTGTGAGGTAGGAGAAAAGGGTGAGTACGGGAAATACTCAATAGGATACAAATATTAGTTCGATCCCGAATAATATTTATCATTCATATATCAAAATAAATCGTACTGTTGTATCATATTTTTAGAACTGGAAAGAGCTAGTATTGTATCACTTGTATCGGATGACCATATATCATATCGTATCATATAATTAGCATAACATTTATCAATATGGAATAACAAAACAAAACCACTTGTACCTTCTTATCCTACCTTATAACTTTCAAATGTGTTTCAACTAAAGGAATAATGTTGTGAAAATATATGTACTATAAATGCTTCTCGACAATTCTTCTTTTGATGCACTCAAAATATGGAAAGAGGTGGTAACATATACGGGAGAAGATGAGTTATGAAAAGTTAAAATGAAAGATATCGTGAAGTGATGGGAGAGAAATAAGGGGATTGATTGAATCTCTCTAATTAGTTGAATAAGTGGGGAAAAAATGGCATGCTGATGCGTGGAAGGTTTTTAGAGGGTATTGCAAAAATAACTACTTATACTATCAAAATTAAAAAAAATAATAATAAATTAAAAGACATCACCAATAAACGGAACGTTATTAATTATTAAATTTCTTGCACAATTATTGATGAATTTACACAAAAATTTGGAATGGAATTTTGTCTCTGCTGCGTGTCCATCTTTCTGTTGGCTTCTGCGTGTATATCTCTCTTCTTCTACTTCTTTTTTTCCTATTTTTTTAATGTTTTGTACCGTGTGTCCTCCTCTGCTTGGTTTAATTAAAATTGCATTTGATTGCCAATATTTTTCATCAAAATGTTTAAGGAATAAAATGGACCTACAATTACTAGGTAAATTTTCATATTTAAAAGTTTATCAATGATTCTTTTCAAAAATGAGAAACAATGATTAAAATTTCTTTCTTTCTCCCTCCCCCCCCCCTTTTTTTTTTTTTTTTTGGTTGTAGAACGCATTTTGTAATAGTAAATTGATGAAGAATACGTTGTTAAAAAACAACGAAATTTTGGGTTTGCGAGCGATATTATTTTATTGAAAAATTTGTAGTTGAAAAGAAGTGGGAAAAAACGTATTTTGGAATTAATGGGAATTAAAAAAGGGCTAAATAATGGTAATTAATTAATTATTTTCCTTTTGATTATGGTAATAATTTTCTAAATTCATTGCGGAGCTAATTGTATTATTGGTCATTAAAGTTTGTGCTCTATTTCAAATTGACCACTAAAGTGTTTTCAGAAATATTTATATTTCAAGTTGATCTTCCAACATGTGCCATTTGGATTTCTTGAATAAATGAGCAAGATTCCCATCCACAAAACACCATGTAATTTTTTTCATTGTTAATCCAGGTAATTAAATTTGACCAATTATATTAACGTTTCCTATTTTATTTTAGCAATTAATAGATGTCACATTGATTATACATTATTCTTTTCTGCTCTAATAACTAATTCTGAAATTCGTTAACTAAATAAGTTAGAAAAATACTTTAATGACCAACATGAACTTCTGTACAAACTTTGTGATGATTTGTGAAATTAACTCAGTTATTACTTGAACCGTCAGCAGACCGGTTTATTGGTGTGTCAATACTGGACCGCTCATTTGCTCGGCCACGCTCCTTATAGCATCATTCTCTCTCTCACACACATCCACACAGAGAGACCCACTTCTATCGTCTCCTTTGATCTGCTACCACACTCCATTTTTCTGAACTCGAAAGATGAGTAAGATTTCTTAGTCTTTCTTTGATCTCCATTTCGGTTTATTTTTTGATTATTTCGACTGATTTTCGTCTTTTAGAATAAGTTTTTAATCATTATTATTTCGTTTCTACCAACAAAATTGATGACTATATATGCACTGATCTCGTTTTTCAGGATTTGGAAAAATCTGCGGATTTATCGACCCACTCATTCGCCGAAGCGTTGTGAATCGTACAGCCTCCGATTTTAAGGTATCATGGTTATGTTTATCAAATTAATTCTTTAATCGTCTAATTGTTTTCATCTATTATATGCAATTATATATATTTTTCGATAAAGATGTAATTTTTTTCATATTTTATTAAATTTAGAAATAAGATCTGTATCTCTTTATCTCAACATAATATACTTACTGTAAAATGTGACCTCAGTGAAAAAGTTGGCAGAGTGCTAGAATTGATTGTTAGTGATTCTGTTCAGTTTTCCCTGTGAATCTAGAAAGCATTCATTTGTTATTCATGTTTGATGGTGACAAATAGTTAAGGCAAATCTTACTTACTTTTATTGTGTTTTATTTTGAATCTATGTTTTAGGAGGTGTTTGATAGACATTTTTATGTAAAAATACATTTTAGAATAGTAAATTGATGTGAAATGTGTGGTTGAGAAATAAGGAAATTTTTTTGATTTACGTGTAATATTATTTTAATAAAGAATGTATGGTTGAAAAGATGAGAGAGAGAAATGCATTTTGAAAAAAATGGCTACGAAACGGGGCCTTAGTATGTCCAGTGAAGCATAAGTTTTCTTCTGGACAAACATGCGAGACTAAAAGATATATTTTTTGCTTAGTTCATCAGTTGTGCCTAAAAGATTTTTGCTGGATTCAACTGTATACAACAATCTATGATAATTCATGAGAATATAAAACAGTTTAACAGAAACATTATCTATTAAGAGAACAAATTCAAACACTGTCTGCAATTGTTCTAGCCTATTTGTGCCAAATTGATAACCATTTTGTAGTACTGACTTTAGCTCAATAGATTTTAGTAGCTGAACTTTTGAAAGTGTAATTGTACGCAGTTCATTTTTGTGTAATGATTTAAAATCAAGGGTGTCAAATACAATTTCATCACTGACACATATAAATTGATTAAAAGGTTAAAAGGAAAATTTTGGGTTTGCAAGCGATATTATTTTATTGAAGAATTTGTAGTTAAAAAGAAGAGGGAAAAAATGTATTTTGAAATTAATGGGAATTAAACAAGGGCTAAATAATGGTAATTAAATTTTTTATTTTCCTTTTGATTATGGTAATAATTTTCTAAAATTCATTGCGGAGCTAATTGTATCCCATCCACAAAGCCCCATGTAACTTTTTTCAATGTTAATCCAGGTAATTAAATTTGACCAATTATATTAACGTTTCCTATTTTATTTTAGCATTTAATGTCACGTTGATTATACATTATTCTTTTCTGCTCTAATAACTAATTCTGAAAAACTAAATAAGTTAGAAAAATACTTTAATGACCAACATGAACTTCTGTACAAACTTTGTGATAATTTGTGAAAGGGGAATTTTCAAAAATGTCAAAAAATTAATAAGGTCCCCAAAAATTGTCATTTTCACTTTATTTGAGCAAAAATGTCACTTTTTTGTGTAAATGTCCAAATTACTCTTAATGACACATTTTCATTAGCATTTAATGCTTGATTTGAAGGAGTTAATTATATTGATGTAATGATTTATTTTATATATATAAAATACTGATAAATGTATATTATATTGATTAATATGAATTTGTGTTAATAAAAAATGGTAAAAGAAGTTAAAAATGAAACATAAACAAATATATCTTCTTCTTCCCTTATAAACCCTAATTTTTCTCATCTTCTTCATTTTCATTGATCAAGAAGATTTTTCTCTTGCATCCATAATCCATTTTGAAAGGTTAGTTATTAGAAAATATTTATATTTTACTTCTATAGTTTATTGTTTTGTAAATATTAAATACAACTTTGACATATTTATTTAAAATTTTGGAAACTATTATTCATTGATTTCTTTATTTTTGAATCCTTCACAAATGATATTATCACCATTAAGATTTTGAGTACTTTCTTCCATTCAAACCAAATAATATTTCCATTAAATGTTTCTTCAATGACGAGGACAATCTCACCTTTTTCATCTAGCCCAATACTAATGATCAAACTTAATGTATTGTGCTAAAGAATCTGTTCCGCCCACTATCATCTGCTTCTCGACATTTTCGACGGTTCAATTGTCGAATTTGACATTTACAAACCGTCGGGTTAGACATTTGAAATGTCAAACCCGACATTTACAAAGTGTCGGAATATATAGTTTTACTGTCAAATTGAACATTTAAAAACGATGAAAAGCCTTGATTTGACCTTTTACGAGATTCATCGTGTCGTATGCGGGAAAGTTTGTTCATGCATATGACGAATAGAAGTAGAGAGGGGACAAAACTACTTACATTCTCATTCCGACAAGTAATATTGTAATCAGACTTTTGTTAATGTTGAAGGACAAACTTGATATTCTTGATCCCCGCACTCAAATTGAATTGAAGATCAAGGTCTTTAACTTGAATATACCTCCGACTGAAATACGCGACGATGAATACTTATTTTCATCACATCTCAAATTGAATTTGATAGATAATTAGTATAATGCTTTTAAAGTCTAAGTGTGCTTGTATCACCCACACTTGGTCTATCATTTATGAAAATTGTGTACATTAAAATCATGTGTACCATTGCATCTTGATTGAAACATGGAACGCACAACATTTTAATGCAAACAAAGAAGTGCTCATTACGTTTTGCAAGAAAATGATGTCTAGTGATATTACCATGATTCACAAACGTTTTCGATTGAAACAAATCATAATAGTCATTTTAATCATACTCATTTTCAATTGGATACCAATTTTAACGATAAATTAAATGAGTTCCGAAAGCAAGAAAGTTATAAAACATACCAAAAACCATTTTTATGTACACAACCTTGCTCAAGTATCAAACGTGATGTGACCATTGTTTTGTATTGTGGTGTAGCTCCATGAACCTATTTAAAAAACAATCAACTACTCTTTACTATCTACTATTCCTTACTATAAACATTTTCTGTACGAAACACAAACAGTTTCCTCTGCCAATATCACATAAATAGAACTAACAAACGCAAAATTATATACATAAATAGAAAATAAAATGTTCTTCCGTGCAGTTGCCACAGTCATCAGAAGTAAACCGTTGTGAAGGTAGCTCTTTCTTTGACAACGAAATCGATTGGTTCCACCTCCAATTATAACAAGAATGTGTGTACCAACACTTTGAGGATCATTCAGGTCACAAGTATGAATCTGCTCATATGTCATCATACATTGGTAAAATTAGTATTTCGAGATAAAGTACGTAGAAAACAATGTGAAGAAATGCAATAATGTTCACCTTGTGTGCAAAGACAATTCGATTACAGTATATAATATAACTCAATTGATTCATGCAATCTATTGTAATCTGAACTTATCCATATTTTTTAACCAAACAATTTCCACAAAAATAGATTTGAATTACATGTGATCCAAAAATTATGAAGAATGAATCGTGACGATGGTGGCATCGTTATACAAATAAAAACGTGAAGCACAAAAATATAACCATATATGGACAAATCAATCACATGTGAGACGTTCGGATGGAAAAATCTAACCACATACGGACAAATCAATCAAAAAATCATGAGATCATAGCATTTCATATATGTTCATGCAAAACACTCGTGCAATGTTATAATGAACCAAAGTTTGACTTGTGGAACTGAGCGGAGGGAAGGACTGAACTATCGTTCTCGACAGTTCCTTTGTCGAGAATTACTGAGGCTAACTGTCGGGAACGACAGTCAGGCGCGATGACATTTCTCTACATTGGTGAACTGTCGACAGATGAACTATCGGGAAATCTACTTTTCACCTCTAAGTAAATAGGTATTATTGAAAATTATTTCACTCCATATTCGAGCATAACAAAACATTAAAACCACAGGTATGCTGTCAACTGTCTAGCAAGAGTTCAACCCAAATACGAGTACCTCCCACAACAAATGGATTCCAAGCGATAGTAATATTATTTCCACAACATAAGTACCAAAAACATTGAAACGAAAGATATGTCAAGTGTCAATTCAGATTTTCGCCCAACATTGAAACATCCAAAATACTTGAAATCTAGACTTTGAAAGCAAAGGAAGATGATAAATATTAAACTAGAACCCTAGATATTTTTTTCCCTCAATATTAGTGTTAGCACGTGTAACGTGTGCATATATGCATCACTAATAGAAGATGTATACAGAAGAGAAAATTAAAATTTATGGCATGAAATTACAGAAAGTAGGAAAAAAACATTTCTAATCATAACACAGTAAAAAATTATTCAAAATGTTCAAAAAAAATTGCATGATATTAAAAGGATTTTTACCTCTTTTTAATCCAAGCCCCAGCTCTTATTTTAAATTCAGCAAAAAGCTCTTTTTTTTTTGCATCTTATAAACCCTTTACAGATGAAAATATTACAAAAGTCGAGTAAAAAAAAGATTTTTCTCTCTTAGATTGAAGCCTGTAATGAGAGATGAGAGAGAGAGTGAGAGAGTTAGATTTGTTTGAATGAGAGAAATAAAATTCATCTCTTATTTTTTTCCAACTTTTCATCATTGACATTGAGAAGATTTTTGTATAATTTCATTGGGTCAAATCTCATTTAATTAGGACATGTATGAAATTTGAAATTATTTTCAGGAACAAATATGTCTTAAATTGATATTCTTAAAATGTTAAAAAAAGTGATACTTTTGTGAATATCTAGAAAAAATTTGGCATCCTTTGCAATTTCCTCTTTGTGAAATTAACTCATTTATTACTTGAGCCGTCAGCAGACCGATTTATTGACGTGTCAATACTGGACCGCTCATTTGCTCGGCCACGCTCCTTATAGCAACATTCTCTCTCTCACACACACCCACACAGAGAGACCCACTTCTATCGTCTCCTTTGATCTGCTACCACACTCCATTTTTCTGAACTCGAAAGATGAGTAAGATTTCTTAGTCTTTCTTTGATCTCCATTTCGGTTTATTTTTTCATTATTTCGATTGATTTTCGTCTTTTGTTATAAGTTTTTAATCATTATTATTTCGTTTCTACCAACAAAATTGATGACTATATATGCACTGATCTCGTTTTCAGGATTTGGAAAAATCAGCGGATTTATCGACCCACTCATTCGCCGAAGTGTTGTGAATCGTACAGCCTCCGATTTTAAGGTATCATGGTTATGTTTGTCGAATTAATTCTTTAATCGTCTAATTGTTTTCATCTATTATATGCAATTATATATTTTTTTGGATAAAGATGGAATTTTTTTCATATTTTATTAAATTTAGAAATAAGATCTGTATCTCTTTATCTCAACATAATATACTTACTGTAAAATGTGACCTCAGTGAAAATGTTGGCAGAGTGCTAGAATTGATTGTTAGTGATTCTGTTCAGTTTTCCCTGTGAATCTAGAAAGCATTCATTTGTGATTAATGTTTGATGGTGACAAATAGTTAAGGCAAATCTTACTTAACAAATAGTTAAGGCAAATCTTACTTACTTTTATTGTGTTTTATTTTGAAGCTATGTTTTAGTATGTCCAGTGAAGCATAAGTTTTCTTCTGGACAAACATGTGAGACTAAAAGATATATTTTTTGCTTAGTACATCAGTTGGTCCTAAAAATTTTTTGCTGGATTCAACTGTATACAACAATCTATGATAATTCATGAGAATATAAAACAGTTTAACAGAAACATTATCTATTAAGAGAACAAATTCAAACACTGTCTGCAATTGTTCTAGTCTATTTGTGCCAAATTGATAACCATTTTGTAGTACTGACTTTAGCTCAACAGATTTTAGTAGCTGAACTTTTGAAAGTGTAATTGTATGCAGTTCATTTTTGTGTAATGATTTAAAATCAAGGGTGTCAAATACAATTTCATCACTGACACATATAAATTGATTAAAAGGTTAAGTCTGAAGATTATATCATTATTGTATTGAAAACATAGCAACTCGTCAATTCTAAATTAAGGATTGCTATAGTAATGCTCGCTGAAGCCTGATAGAGGAGGGAAAAGAAGTCAACATGTGAGTGGGCATGCCCTATCGAGCTGTATTGTGTTTCAGGGCGCCATGCTTTTCTAGATTGAAACTGATTATCCGAAAAATTTCTGCCAAGTGGATCCCACCGATGTTAACAATGAGAGAATTTTATGAACTAATTCTTTAGTCGGAGTTTTAGAGTTCTTAAGAAGCAAAGAATAGCATACATATAAGGATGTGAGTGAGAAATCACTTTTCTCACGAAACATTCCATTTGCTTAAAAGCAGCGTCCTAATTGATTCATAAGGAGGTGACAGTGTTTGGGCATACCAAAGTCTAATTGAACTGGTTTTCCAAATACTTTATTCAAACTCCATTTGTCTGCAATGCTTTGCATAAATGGTTTATCATGTTGTTTAGAGTGCTCAAGAGGCAACCTATACATACACTTGTTATACTTGATGAGATTAAGCATTACTCGTTTTTCCAATCTTTAATATGGATATTATTATGATTTAAAATTGAGGAAATAATAGGTTGTTATGGAGCTAGGCCTTCTTTAACAGTCCATAGAATTGACCTCTTCAAGTAGTAAAATCAAAAGCTTGTTCAGGGAGAAACCTGAGCAAAACATGTCTAAAAGGACCAAGCAAGCAACGACAGTGGGAGTGCAAGAATCATAATTGCTGGAGAGTCAAACAAGAGTGGAAAAAGGAAATGAGTTAGTATGATGTGGAACTGAGAGACTGATGAAGGCTTGAAGTAGCTATACGCAATCTACTTTTATATATTTCAGTTGTGACAAGAGTCATGATTATGCATGTCATCTTCAAGCGAATCTATTCAATAATTTTCATTCTCATTATTATTCAAGCATAAAGTTGGGGAGAGTAACAAAGTCGTCAATGCACCACTTAGAAGGCGTAGTTACTTGTTGAATACAATGTATGCTCAATTAAAAATCTTTGAGGAGTTTTAAGAAATAGCATTAGCAAATAAATGAGAGACTTCCTAAAAGTATTTAGAAAACTGACTATTTCTTTTGTTATGCATGATGATTATTTATTCAGAGGTAATCACTAATGCATACTTGAGGTTCTACACGAGCAAATTATCAATGAATTACATGGCAGTGGTTTAGCAGGACATTTTGGTTGATAAGAGACTTTAGTTTTGGTGGAATAATGATTTTATTGTTGTAAACAGCACAAGATATTGTTGTTTTTTGAATTTACTAATATGCCTAAGGTCATCCTCAATGATTGGTTGTTATTTCCTTGCTGGTAATTGTTACTTTGCCTTGGGTTCTTCCTAGTATGAGCATTATTGGGCAAACGATCTAGAAGAACACTCGATATCTGAGAAAGAGATAAGCTATGTATCCAGTCATTGAAGTCAGATTCTCTTCAGCCCAGAGTAATTGATGTATGAGCAAGAGTTTAATATTTTCAAATCCTTCTTGGAACAGTATTTCTATTCTTATTAGACTTGAATCGTTGGTTAGGATTAGATGTGGACTCTTAAGTTAGTGGTTCTTTTAGGTTTCTAACTACAATTATGATTACTTTCCTAGTTACAGTAGATTTTGGACTACCCTAGCGATTTATGCTTTACTAATTAGAATAGATTTTGGAGTCCTTTAAGGGTTGAAAAGCGTCTAATTCGGACGTAGTGTTACATGAAAAATAACAATATGAAGAACTTTATGTGGCAGCCCAGAAATTTTCGGCTTTGCTTGGATTTAATTCTGAGGCACTAAATCTGTAGTGTTTACTTTGATCTCCGCCAATATCCCTTTGGTTCTTTCATCTCTTTTATTATATTGTTGGTTAAAGCTTGTTCCCTCATCACTTAGCCACTGTTTATGATGCAGGAGTGTATAATTTGTTAACTAACAAGACAAAAAATATTAAAGAAGGGTGTGAAGAAGAGAAGAGTTGAGGACAACAGGAAATTCAATCTTTATTCATATAATGAGGTTGTTTATTATATTGCATAAGTCCTTCTATTTATTGAGCAAATAATGTAAAGGTGTGTTTGATTGGAGGTGGAATTCCATGGAAAATGGAATTGGAATTCCACCTTCCAATTTAACCATGTTTGATATCCATTTTTCTTCTCTAGAAGTGAATTTCCATCTTTGGTGCCACATAAGCCAATTTCCATGAATTCAAAGAATTGCAATTCTCACCAAAATGGTGAGAATTGCAATTCCCGGTTACTGTAGCATTTTTTTTCCTTTTTTTTTTTTTTTGGAAAAAAATTTTAAGAATTATTGTAAAAAAATATTTCGGTTTAATTGATAATTTTCATGTAAAATAAGACCAAATAAACACCAAAAGATGGAATTTTTTTTTTTTTTTTTTTGGCAATGAGAACAAATTCATCCCCAATACCAGTAAAATCTATCCCTTTAATTGATAATTTTCATGTAAAAAAAGTCAAACGAACACCAAAAAAACACTTTTATTTCAACATTTTTCACGTGGAAAATTATACCAATCAAACAAAATAATTTGCAATTCCCAGAAAAATAATTTTTAGACAATTCAATTTCGTAGAATTCGTTTTTAATTCCATCTTTGCAATCAAACGGACCCTAAAAGAAGTTAAAAAGGATACAAACTTCTAGTAAACTATAATTATATCAAAATATCAAAATTAATCTTATCTAATCTAATTAAATACACTTTAGATCAAACTTTATTTTAAACTCCTAATTAAATATATCTCCATCTTTATTCTAATCTTGATCTCCATCGGTTATTTTTTTGGTAAAAATCATATTTTTAGCAGATTTTGATAATAATTGATGAAGAGTATTATTGAAAAGTTGATAAAAGTCGCGAATTTTATTAAATGTGTGGTTGAAAACAGTTTGGGAAAAAAATGATACTCTAAGTTGAGTCCAACCAATTCTAGTCTTTGATGATGACCATACTTATATGACAACTGTTGAAATTTATTTTGGTTTTAGGGCAGATGTTCTCTGTTGATTTGATTGAGTGAGATTCAAGTCCAAAGAAGCTTGATAGTTAAGTATTAAGCCCTTGCTTGAGCCTTTTTTTTTTCCATCAAAATCTATTCTTAATCAGTGATTTGATCTATTTCAGCCACACATTTTTCAATAAAATAATATTACACACAAACCCAAAACTTTTTCTTATTTCTTAATCATACATTATCAATCATGAAAATATTACAAGATGCATTTTTTGAAAAAAAATGGGCTCAAACAAGCCATAAATGTTTGTAGACTACGTTTAAAGTTAACCAGTATTTTCTTAAAATTGTGTCTTAAAGCACTGATTTTCTTCTTAGAATTCCTTTGTCAGTAAGATGTTAATCAGCTGGGTATAATAATAAAAATGCATATGCTATATACAACCAATAGAAAGGCAAGCAAGTCTTATTCCTAGATACATAGTGCCGGTGGATGCAAACACCATGATTCCAATTAATTTAAAAAACATACCTAATTTCTAAAAGAAAAACCTAAATTATGGGAAAAACATAAACAATGCTTGTGAAGCTTGTATCCTCAGTATCGGTGATGATACTGGAAGAAAACATGTGGGGTGGAGGTAGTACAATGTTGTTCGCCTTGCATCACGAATTTCCAGTTTGAAAATTAGATAAGTTAAAATTTACTTATAATATATGGCACTCACTCTTTGAATTAATTTTTTTCACATATATTAATGAGACAACTATTAATGAAAGAACAATGGTGTAGCAATATTTAAGTTTTGATAAATTTTGATACTTGAAAGGGATACTGAACTACTTGAATACTTTTGACACTTGTATAGATGTTTATCATAGGTTATGTTTTCAATTTACACACAAACACACACACATTTGGAACTTTCACTGGATATGGGTAAGTAACTATCATTCTTCCCAAGAGGTCCGGGGAAAATTGGAAGTTCTTTTTTACATGCTGGTGTACAATAAATGAGCCTATATATGATTCAAGAACCAATAATTTATTTGTCAAATTTCTCTGTTCTTGCTATATAAAGCGCTTTGCTTACCTGCTACAATTGTGGGGGCTATCGTACTTCCCATGATTCTACTGTGTGACATCCCACTGATTGATTTTTATCTTGCCGTTAAAAACCTTTCTTCATGCGAACCTTCCGATGTCTCTCGTCATATCCAAACCAACCCTTCCACCACCCAACCCCACCGTCCTTGGCCTCTCCGACACCAGTCATCAGACCTAGAACTGGAGACCCATCGCCACCGGCCTCAGGCTACAAAAACCCAGCCTCGCATGCCCAGAATAAGTCGGAACAGGCCACAAGATCTACCTTGGTTCAACCAGATCCAGGTTTTACGTGCCTAGTCAGCCGCTTCTACCGGCCGTTCTGCCTCCGGCCGATCAGGCGTGTGGGCCACAAGACGATCAGGCAGTGCGTGGCCCACATTTCCAGGTTCCTCCTGCTTCTACGAAGCCATTCTGACCATTGGTTCTGTCATCTTTCGGCCCGTTATCACAGAATCATGGGAAACAGCCTTATGTAGTGGAGCATATGGTTTTCAGTTCATGCTTTAGAGTCAAGGCGAAGGAGTTTGTAGTGTCTGTTATCACCTTTGGTGTTAAGCTTTCAGAATGGGGTTCGAAGATATCGGGTGCTATATGTATGGGCTGATTTGGTGCCGTTGGATGGTAAATATGGTAGAAAAGTTGAGGAGGGCTAATAAGATGGAGGAATTCGTTGCCAAGTTCAATGAATCTTCCTGCGCTTTCTTAGCGCAACGTTGTGCAAATAGTCGTGGCAGATTTCTCATGGTAGCACAGTATGGGGAGAGGCGGAGAAAGGGGGTTGTAAAGGTGTCGGAAGGTACAAATGGAGAGGGATGGGAATCGGTTTCATGCATGTTCCAAGCGGTCATTGCTTCCTTTGTGGTGAGGGACAAGGTGGTGTGTCAAACAATTGAAGAAAGAAGCCTACGAGGGATGACTTATGCCGAAGCCACGGCAAATGCACGAGCTTCGCAAAGCGCTGATCAGAGGGTAATGTTGCAGAAGGAAAGTGTGGGCAATGAGAGAAATGATCCTCATGTCGAATTAATAGCTCGCATACAGGTGTTGAAAGGGGAATTGGATGGATTGATAATAGTTGTGGAAAGTGGGTCCATAGTGGGGTCCAAGTTAAATTATTGCCATGAGTGTGGGGTGAGATTGGAGGAGTCAGCTTATTTGGATGTCAAGGAGCCAGCGCCGATAGGGGTTTCGACTAAAGATAATCAGGTGCTACATAAGCCTTGTGGCGAGTCCCAGACAGGGGCTGAAGTGGACATTTCTTCTGGAGATGAGAATTGGGATGAGATGGAGGGAATGAAAAGGGGTGGAGTGGAACCAAGGATCGAGGCATATCGAGGGGCGGAACCTCGGACGGAAGTAGGAGAGGAGGGCATTATGAATATTGACTCGGAAGTTTTGGAAGCGAACAGAGTTATTTGTTCTACGATCGTGGGGTCATTAGACACGATTCCACTTGTAAAATGATCGTTGCCAGATGATGTGCAAGAGGTTGGACTTGAACTGGGTGAACATTCAGGGTCGGCACTTGAAGACTAGCATGGGAAAACAGGCCCGGCCACTAAGGCGGTGAACACCTACAGCAGGCGAAGCGCTAAGTCTTCGAATGAATGGGGTCTAGAGAATGATAATGCATTGGTGGTGTGGATGGGGGGCGCTGAGAAGGGAAACA